AAGACCCCTCTTTGTTCTCAATTTTTTTTTTTTTTTTTTTGGTTTTTCAAGACAGGGTTTCTCTGTGTAGCTTTAGCTTTAGCTGGCCTGGAACTTGTTCTGTAGACCAGGCTGGCCTGGAACTCACAGATATCGGGATTAAAGGAATATGCCACCACCGCCCTGCTTTTTCTCAAACTGTTACAAATTGCTTGAGTGTAGAAGTATAGAAGATTGCTTCCTACCTCTGACTCTTGGTATGGGGCTTCCTGGGTCAGCTGTGGCTTTGCTGGAATAAGGATCCTGAATGGAAATCATTCAGCTTTTAGATTTATTTTATTTTATTTTTTGTTTTTTTGACACAGGGTTTTTCTGTGAAGCTTTGCGCCTTTCCTGGATCTCGCTCCGTAGACCAGGCTGGCCTCAAACTCACAAAGATCCCTGGCTCTGCCTCCCAAGTACTGGGATTAAAGGCGTGCGCCACCACTGCCCGGCTTAGATTTATTTACTTTAAAATTTTTATTGTTTTTTGTGTATGTGTGTTTTGTCTGTCTGTATGTATATATACCGTGTGGGTGTCTGGTGCCTGTGAGGCCAGAAAAGGGTGTCAGATCCCCTGGAACTGGAGTTAGAGATAATTGTGTGCTGTTATGTTGGTGCTGGGAACCAAACCCAGGTCTTCAGAAATAGCAGCAAGTACTCTTTTCTGCTGGGCTATCTTTCCAATTCTGCTCCGTATAAATCTTGATCTTCCTGGTTGTCTGTGGGGATCAGGGGCTTGCATTGTGTTGAGTCTTAGCGTCTTCTGTGAACTGTACCTGTTTTCAGGACCCGTAGGACCTGATAGGATTTTGTCTTCAGAGCGTCTTTCAGGACTTCTTGCCTGCTCTAGTCTGATTAATTGTCCGTTTGAATCTGGGAGGGAGGGACCTTTCATACAAGGTTTCTTGTATGGAGTCTGGAAAGGCCATGCTCCCACCCTGGACCCAACCCCTTTCCTGTATCCACTTTTGGTAAAGATTTATTTGTGTGTGTGTTCAAGTGTATGTTAGTAGAGGTTCCCGCAGAGGCCAGAAGGTGTGGAGCAGGAGTTACAGACAGCTGTGAGCTGCTGGCCGTGAGTGCTGGGAACTGAACTCGGGTCCTCTTACCCGATGAACTATCTCTGTAGCTCTGTACCACTTCTTACTCTTCCTGTTTTTGCCTTGGTTTTCTCTCTGGTCCCCACCTGGCTTCTCTCACTATCCTGTTTGCTCTATGGGAATATTTGTTGAACAAAAGGGAAACTGGTCTTCTTGAGCATAGGTCTCAGGAAGTGACTGGGCCGTCCGTCCCTTGAACAAGGAAATTAACTTGCTCTTGTGCCTGCCTCCTCTCCAACTCTGTTGGGGTGTGCGTAACTGGCAGATACAAAGTGTGCCTATTTAAGATGTTCACCATGGGGGCTCAGTGGTTAAGAGCACTGGCTGCTCTTCCAGAGGATCCAGATTTGATTCTCAGAATCTATATTGGGAAGCTCACAACCACCTGTAACTTGAACTCCAAGGGATCTGATAACCTCTTCTGGCCGCTGAGAATACTTGCACATGCCTCCCAAGCCCTGGGATTAAAGGCATGTGCCATTACACCTGACTAGCTCTCTTTAATAGTGTTTTCCTCGTGTGTGTGTGTGTGTGTGTGTGTGTGTGTGTGTGTGTGTGTGTGTGT